AAATATCACATGAAAAAAGAAAAATGCCATCAAGTTTGTTTTAGTCCACATCATCAATTTTTTCCATGTGGCATTCTATTGATTAGCGTTTAATAACACGTCAACAATGAAAAAGAAAAAAGACAAAATATTTAACAGATTATAGTGCCACTCTGTCACTTAACTAACGAAAGGACCAAAAAGGGGTCGAATTTTGAAATTTAGAGATTAAAAAGGGGATTTTTTCGGTACAGGGATCAAAAAGGGGCTTTTTCCTATAGTAGAGGGACCAAAAAGGGTATTTAACCTATCCTAAAACAGAGGGATAATAATAGCTAGTGTATGACAGTATTATGCCATTATTTATAAATATATAAGTTTAACATCTTATATATAAGGCCTACAAATGTGCTGTCTTGGGAGTAGTAGCGCCACTAGTAACGAGAGGTCTCATGCCAAGCTGCTAGTACAAGAATTACAAATTTTCAGTTAAAGACATATGTGATGTTTGCATAGAAGCAAACTCAGCTCTAGATACCTCAAACTCAACTCAAGATGCCTATAGCTCAGCTTTAGTCCTCTATAACTCATCTTTCAATAATTGAACAATTTGTTGTAACTCTTCAACCTAGGGAGAGTGCTGCATTATTGGGGGCCTTGAAGGCTCCCGCCTAGAACTGACACCTACATCATGTGGATGAGTGTAAATATCAAGACCTTTTAACCATCCCCTTTGCACCCCACTAGTTGCTCTCATTAATAGGTTATGTTGACTCAATGTACTCCAAGAGGGGGGGTGAATTGGAGTTCCAAAAATTCTCCCCTTTTTGGAACCACAAAACCAAAAATAAAGAGAGTAAAGAAAAAGAGCTTACTCAATGATTTTATAGAGGTTCGGTCCAACCACTTTGAGCCTAGTCCTCTACCTTGGCTTCACTCACCAAGGATTTCCTCCACACTCTTCACTAACAACAACAAGGGTGGCTTAAAAGGAGCCACTCAATCCTTTTACAAGAAGAAGGGTGTTTATCTCAAATCTCACCCCTTTACACTTAAACCCCAAGAATCCTCTCTATAGATAACTCTTGAAGGATTAATCACACCCCCAAGATCACTCACAAATAGAACAAGAAGAGGATTATAAGTAAAGATCTCTCAAAGATCAAAAACTCAAGTTAAAGCTCATGTAGGTAGGTAAAGATATTCAATGCAATTCTCTCTAAACCTCCTTCAGATCTTCTACCAACCATATTTATAACCCCATGGTCGAAAATAGCCATTGGGGGTCATTTAATGCTTTGCAGGACGCAAAGCTCGAGTTGCAAGATTGTCAGGACAGCCGGCTTAGCTTCCTAGAACCGGCTTTGCATAATCGGCTCACCATTTCCGCATCCGGCTTTGCGAGATTCTGGACATTCTGTTTTCTCCGCAGAGCCAGCTGCAAAACGCAAAGCCTGCTTTGCAGGTTTGCTACACATTCTGTTTTCTTCCATAACCGGTTGAAAATCCTAGAGCCGGCTTTGGAATTCCAACTTTAAATACATTAAATAATCTTCAAATAACTCGATCGTTGTGCATTAAATGCACCCTTACAGCCAGCCGCAAAGTTGGAGCCGGTTTTGCGTCTTTTCTCCACGCGCGCTAAACAAAGATCTTCAAATTTTTGCCCATAGAGCTGGCTGTAGCTTCCAGAGCCGGCTCTCTGCACTTCCATTTCACCAAAGCTCGCTGCAACTTTCAAGAGCCGGCTCTCTGCACAATTCAAGCCTTTCTGGTCCATTTTTAAGTGCAGTCCAAGTTTACTTATTTTGCAATCTTTTGACATTTTAACTACACACTTAAATGAACCAATTAGTCACTTAAATGTGTTTTGTAATCATCAAAATCATAGGTACAATAGGTTACCATGGATTTGTGTTGGGTCAATCCTTCTTCCCCTTTCCTAGTTGCATACTTAGATGCTAATTTTTTCTGAAATCATATATACACACAAAAAAAAAGGTTAATATGAATATGGAAAAATCTATACTAGTTATGATAATAATATAAATAT